TTATGTCCCCCATTCTTCCGCTCTTGACTCGCATCAACCTAACCTAAGTCCTGGCTGTTAACCTAAGCTAAGGCCGTAAGTGTCGCTAACCTGGAAACAGGTTGTAACATGTCGCCCGACACCGGCCAAAATAGCGCCTAACCACCGCCCGGGTGAGGTGGCCGTCGAGGAGTCCGCCCGCGCACCGAGTCCGCCGCCCGCGAGGTAGTCGCCGCCTGGGTCCCACCGTCCGCCCGGGTCCCGCGCACCGGTTAGAACGCGTCCGCCCGCGGGGTTGACGTCAAGGAGTCCGTCCGGGTCCCGCCCGCGCACCGGGACCGCCCAGGGTGGAACATGTTTAAGCGCAAGAGATACATAGTCACGGTGTCAGGATGGCCGAGTGGTCTAAGGCGGTAGACTTCTCGTCTGCTTCCCCCATGGGATCGTGGGTTCGAATCCCACTCCTGACATTGTTTTTTTTATAAGCAGCATTTCCATGCGCGCCCAGGAGGCATGCTGCAACGCTCGTTAGAATTTTTTTGCGGTAAATCCTTCCCCCAAGAGAGGCTTATGCAAAACCGTAATCTTTTTCCGTTACAAATTTTTTTGTGTGTGTTACAAATTTTTGTACGGAGCAAAATTTTTTATGTTACATTTCTGTAAATAACAACATTTTTTGCGTGTAACAATTTTTTTTGTGTTACAATTCTTTTGGTGTAACAAAATTTTTGTGCAACGATTTTTTTTCGTGTAACAAATTTTTTGAGTTACAAATTTTTTGCGTTACAATTTTTTTTGTGTAAGAATTTTTTTTGTGTTGCAATTTTTTTTTGTGTGTGTAACAGATTTTGGCGTAACAATTAATTTTTGTGTAACAAATTATTGTGTTAGATTTTTTTTTGTGTCACATTGTTGTTAAGGGATTTTATTTTTTACGTTCGCAACAAGTTTGCGACCCTGGAATAACACACGTGCGTTTTTTTCCAAACATGTGTTTGAAAAGTTTTCGCACTATCTCGTCGTTTTTAACGGGGTTCGATGTAAACAATTTATGGACAAAGGAATGCAGGGAATATCCGTGAGCTCTGTGTACAAGGTACAGTACGCAGTACTCCCCACACACCATAGAGTCAACAGCTTGAAGACTCGTGTGATTATATGTCCATTTTTTACAGAGTCTATTGAGAAATCTTTTGTGATGCGCCACAAGGGGTGGAAAACCGTACGAGTCCCAGTATTCTCCTACGCCGTGTTTATCAATGTAAAACGCTACCCAGTGTTGTCCTGGCTTGGATATGGAGTCTGTATTGCAAATGAGAAGAGCAGGGCGTTTGTGAAGGGCGCGTGGCAGAGTATCGGCGGCAAACACGCCCTCAAACAGAGGAGAGACATGTTTATCGCGGCGCATGAGAGTGTCAAGAGTAAGTCCGTCCATTTTTTTAGACGTTGTAGTCCACAATGACGTTACGGTCTTTGTCGATTTCAATCAAATTCTGAAATTCTGCGTAGACCACGCAATTTATAGCAACGGGCAGTGGTTCAGCGAACCGGAGATCAAGGCGCAGTGAGCCATGTCTTTGCAAGTTCCAATGTGGCTGACTAGCTGAGAGATCGGGTGTCAGATCGAAAGCATAGAGGGTCGTGCCTTTAGCATAGTCGCCATAGCTGATATTGTTCCCGTCGTCTTTCCAATGAATACCCGTACCACTGAACAACGTATTGTAGGCCTCAACATAGAGATCATTAGAAAAATCTGGAGTCAGTGGCTGTGATGGCACATTTTCTCCATCTTTCTTCAACTGCAAGTGATTGAGGTTAAAATCTTGGAAATTGAACGGATTGAGTTTATAATCTCCATTGAACGCACTGTTGTCAGTGAGACCCAGAAGAATCCTCGTAGGCATTTGATTAAGAAAGAGGTTATCTACTGTTTTGTCTCTCAAGCCTTGGGCGATCGTTACGGTTTTCAAATCGACTCGCGTAAGGGGGTACTTGGCGTGAGCCTTTTCCAAAACTTG